CATTAACTACCCAGTTTTTTCAGTGATTCATAAAAATTGTTTACTAAAAATTTATTTAAATGATCAGTTGCACTTTCTATTTCTAATTTGTAGACATTTATAAATAAATAAACAATAAAAAAAAATTTACTGACCGTCAAAATTAATATTTCTTTGTTAATATGTATGCATGGTAAAAATAAGAAAATCTCAGTAGATAATACAATTATTAGGATAGATTTTCCCTTTCCATGTTCAACTGAAATATGATAGTAGTTGAAGATAAATAAGTGTTCTTCCTTTGCTTATCATGACCCACATAATGCAGATGTGAAAATATGCTTATATACAATTTTACAATGAAAACGTCCTAACATTGTTTTGAGTACTATTGGATTTAAAAAAATTAACATATTTTACAACGAATAATATGTACGTAACAAATTATATGTATGTGCACATTGTTTTTAAGTCATATATATTGTGTCGCTGATAAGTTGTAATCAACAACGGTAAAGTTTCTCAAGAGCAATTTAAACATAAAAAAAATGAATGTTACAATTGTGAGAGAAAACTCAATCCGATAACGCTCGAATAATTGACATTTTATTCCATCAAATGCAAAAATTCTGATTGGCCATACACAATATCACGAAGAAGACAACTAATATAAGTATGAGGCATCCACACGCGCGTGCGCACGTATACAACAGAACTCTGCATTACGAAAAACCGAGTAAAGTGAAAATAGAAAATAATGATTTTTACGGGCCAAGCAGTTTCGCGACGACAATGTACATAATTATGGGAAAGAAAATATTGTCCACCAAACGCTTCCTTCTAGCAGCATATTGTTGTCATCATTATTATCATTGCGCCAACTTCTTTCGAGAAGAAGCGAAGTCCTACTCTGGCCAACTGCCCATTCAGATGACGCCCGAAGTGTACATATCTTCTAGATGACATATACCTTTCCGCGGGCTCTAGTACATACAGTCGGTGTATGAAATGTCTGCATAAGTACATACATATATAAATGTGTTTGCTCTCACCTCTTTCATATTAGTATACTTCTCAGCTCGTGCGGGTGCTTGGATAGTCTTTATAAATCGCGCTGGTATCTTCAATTAACAGTGAACGCTCGAAGTGTGTCTCATTACAATTACATTTTTCAGTGAGACGTTTTTTCCTCTCTTTTTTTCTTTTTCTTGTGTACACAACTGCAAAAGGCACGGTCAAATAATTCCGGAATTTAAGTACCAAGATTTGATTTTTTCGTAACTGTTCGAGCAGTGCGTGGAAATGGCTCCGTTGTTGAGGTACGACGTTGTGAAAAATAATGAATCAAAAATTTTTTGTTTTTTTATCTTCCTATTTAAATAACATAGTCGCTTGTCTTTCGAGATGAACTGTGCGTATAGCCACAATTTAACAAAATTGTTTCGCGATTGAAATGTTTATTTTTAGATAAAATGCATTATTTGGGCTGCAAGAAATGTTGTTTTTTCCATTCATTCTTTAAATATTATTTAGAAAACCTTTTTTTTCTTAGGATTAGTGCAATACATTATTCATAAATAAAGTCTTTTAAAAGTGTTAGAAATTTTTATTTAAATATTTCATTTACTTTGACACTATTATTTTTTAAATAGTTTTTTATTGATGCTGAAAATTTTTTATTTAACTCATACTTTGAATACACTACTCACAAAACTTTTTTCTATTACATATTAAAGCAATTAATTTAATAAAATGTTAATTTAAAGTTCTTAGAAGAAACATTTAGATACATTTAGTTATTCTTTTCTAAAAAAAGTAATTGAATATTTTTGCTGAATAATGTTTATCACATTTCTTCTCTCCTTACAGTATTAAAAAAAAATTGTTTCTATCAAATAATATTACAATGTAATTGTAAAGAATATAATTATTTTAGTGTCAAAAGAAGAACATACATATTTTATTAACTTTGATCTGTTTTTTATATTTTGAACAGTGATTTGTCATTTTTGAAAAATTTTTATTTAGTACTCTGCTTCACAAGTAAAAAATTTTCTAGTACAAATAATGCATTATGTTATTGGGAAAAATTGGTATCGGAAATAATATGAAAAAGTGACTATGCCCATCTAACAATAGTTAACAAGAAGTCCCCGACTGTAATTCGACTCCCGGAAATCCTTTGGTGCACAATGAAATTTTTCGTCGAAGAAATCTAATATATCCGTCAGTGGAACATTCCATAGTCCCACACTATGTATTCGTGTATTTACATAACAAGCTTTCTCTCTTGGCTCACAAGTTGATTTACATTACGCCTGTACATGAGAAGTCGTACATCTTTAAATCTGGGATTTGAGTTGTATTTCAGCGTTACCCAATATTAATACTTACACCTAAAGCTTTAGTAACTTTGTATCTTTTTTTTTTTTTTTTTTTTTTCTCTTTCAAAAATTTAATTTTACCACAGTTGAAAAAATTGAAATACTCGTATGTGTGTCATTTTTATTATTCTACAAAATTATCACTACCCTTGACTGCAAAATAAGAATTATTAAATATTTTCTGGACTTCCGACAAATCGTTCTGTTAGTCTTGATAAAAAATAAACGATGGGCTAAATTTATGCAAAACGTTAGGTCTTGCATTTAATCAATCCAAGGTTCGCCAGAGTAGGAAGTGTAATTGTATCTATAACATTTTAGTTGGAGATTATTCTTATAGTTTAACACCATATCCAAGTAAATTTTATGTTTATCACCAAATGTCAAATAATAAAATAATATTGCATATCACAAATAAATTTTTCAGCCATTTCAAAACGGTTTTTTGTTGCATCTTATGTTAGTATGACAATAAAGACATAAATACCAAACAAAAATAAGTCTATGTTAATAAAATCTATAATTATATTAAACATTTGGTCAGAAAATGACACATAAAAAAGTTATATGCTATAAAACGATTTATAGATTATTTTAAAACGATTTCTTTGTTTAATGTGTTAGGACGACAATATTAACAAAAATGATGAATAAAATAAAAAGTTTGTTTTTATAAGATCTATAACTTTTGTATAATGTTCTCCATACAAATGTGATTTAGAAATGTTAGATGCTATAATATGAGTTTTTGGAAGTTTTGATACCATTTATGTGGACGATATATACCATTTATAGCATTAAGACCGTGCTGTAAAAAAAAAAAACTTACACAAACAGTTTCATTTTAATAAACTTTACAACTTTTGGCCTTGACAATTTGTTATGGATTTCGAATTTCTGCTATTTGTGGGCAAAAACGATTTTTTTCGCTTTTTTCACATCTATTTTGGATTACAGAGCATTTGCATTGCATGACAGTAAAGTGTATAATACAAAAAGTTTACAACTTTGTCTCTAAACACAAATGTGTAAAATGTACTTGTGTTAAAAATTAGAACCAAAAAATTTCGTTTTTTTTTTTTTAGAGTGCTATGGTAAAAATGTTGACAAGATTTTTCTCTCCGATGAAAACTGTCTGAACCCAATACACCAGCTTTGACATTGAACTTTAAGTTACTTATAAAATGTGAGCCCATTTGGACAATAATAACTTGAGCTAGTCGAAAAACTTTATTACTTACATATACATACATACATACATACATACATACATACGTACACCATGTCTCTACCGCAGATTACCACTACGCTTAGTTTGAAATTTGTTTGACATCGAAAAAATATTATTCATCAGTAGTAACAATTTTTGCTCTGACAACAATACGAGGCTTTCCAATACTTATATTGGTCGTACCTAAAAATAAAATGTATCATTAAGTTGACAGCTGTACGTTCTCCATGATTTTTTCACCATCCCTGTTGCTCGTAAAACCATTTTTCACGTCATCAGCTCAAATAAAAAAAACTAAAATATTGAATTATAATATTTTGTTTAAACGTGTCAACATGAAAAATGAATTTTCAGTGAAATGAACAGCAAGTTCTTCGACCCCTCATTGGAAGAAGGCTCTAGGGCCCTCCAGCACTACTGTATAACGCTGGGTGTGGGGCCTCTGTGGTGGTCCTGATGCGCCCCATGCCGCATTGTCTGTATCCACAGTCAACACAGAGAGCCGCGGCGTGGGGATCAAGCAGAGTCAGCTCTCTGTGAGCTCCCGCATTGTGCAAGTAAGCGTACTATATACACATTTTTATAAATTGCCATTTTTTTTTCCTATTGTCTAATATGAACATTACCGGAAGTCAAGTCAAAGATGTGTTTGTACGGTGTTGGTGAGTTATGGTTACAAGTGTGAAAATAATCGTGACCAACGACTAAGTATATATATTTATATATATATATTAAAGATAATAACGACGTTGAACGATGGTGATGATTATCCCAACGAGCTTTAAGTGCTCCATATTTTGTGACGACTGTTTGCTGGTGGTGACGCTTGACACATTTAATGGGTTGGAAGATCGAGAGAGCTGTTGCCGGTTGTTTTTTGTAGACGACCGTTTCGATTCACTTTGAAAAATCTATTGTGCGCTGAATTACACGTCAAATCATTTTCCGTGTAACGAATCAAAATTATTGCGTTCTGGGAAGTAAATTAGAGGAAGGGAGGCTCAGTGGAAAGTAACCACGTCGTATTTCGTACTAAATACATGTAACAAACGAATCAACGCTACAGCCACTCGGTTTCGAAATTTGGATCGAATCGTCGTCGGTTAGGTATTACGTACATCGGTCAATATAGAGATAGCTTTGTTTATACTTCCGTTGGCTGTATTTTATTTTGTGACTCTGGTGTCGTCCAACGCGCAATTTAGCATTTTCGCACGTGTTGAAATCGTGATGATATTTTTGAAAAATTTAATTGGCTTATTTTTCGCACTGGTCGTTAATAGGATTTATGAGGGTTATTGGGGAGACTACTTTTTAAAAATTGGACTTCGGTGTCTAGACGGTGTCTGAATAACCTAATTGTAATAAAGTTTAGGATAACTTTGAATACCATTTTGTAATATTGCTGTACTGCGTGAAAAATTGATATTATGATCTCAAACCTAATATCAAAACCTAATGTTATTTTCAAAAACTTGATGAAGTAACGCATTTTAATTTTAGTTCTGATGTTTTTAAATAACTTAATTTTTATATAATTTTCCACGCTATAAATAGATTTTTACATAGCAATGAAGTTGTTCTCAACTTTTTGGATTTTATCGAAATTTTAAGATGTTTTTTTTATGGTTTCTGTAATTTAAAAGTCTATGAGGATATTTTACTAAAAGTTTACATTTACAAACAATAACTGTCGTGAAAGCTATTGATTATTTGTTGAATCGAATAGGATGAGAACGACTGCATGACATCAACTGCCTTAAAAGGAAACGTAAACATCTAACTAGCTACATATAGTTACTAGCTACATACATATACTATTGATGATGAATAAAAATCATCTGCTACTGTTGGCTTATCGTTTCACTGTAGGCCAAATGCTTTTTTACAAGATCGCTTCCCTAGAATTGTTTTTTTTAAGATTGTAATCTGAAAGTACATACTTGTACTCTTGAGACACGAGGAAATATTGAGAAAATTTAGGTTATTATTAGAAATTTTAAAATACATTTCAGTTGAAGGAAGTCATTACTTATAAAAACAAATGTTTTCTAAGTAAATACACTAATCTTCAGATACTTTATTAACTATTTTTCCATTCCGTTGATACATATATGAGTGGTGTCAAGTCTCTTCAATTTTTATCTGATTGTTAATTAACAAACTAATATAAAGTCTGTACCAAATGTGCATAATATACTTCTCAGCTTTCGCTAATCACACTGTACATACACACATAGATATTGGACACGTGCTTTATTCTTAAATTGAATAAATAACGTGAAAGTTGAAGTTACTTTAGAATGGATATTGTTACCTTGACAGTTAGTGCTTCATAAATTTTACGTTATTGTTTTCTTGCAATACAAAATTGGCATCTTTACAAGACGGACGCGAAAACTGCTTTTCTCCTTTGGCATTGGTATTACACAAGTTCTCAATAGTTTCGAGAAAATGCCTTTTGGAATCTTTGATTTCCAGTAACCACGTAGTCCCTAAATCGGGTACTTCAATGTCTATATA